CCCTTACATCTAAGTCCCATCAGAGCACCACCCCCTTTATTTCAGGGTCCCCATCAAAGTCCGCTCTTACATCCATGTCCCCATCAGAGTATCTAACATCCTATCCCTATCAGAGTTCCCCCTTACATCAGAGTCTGTATCATGAGTTCCCCCTTACATCAGGGTCCGTATCAGAGTTCCCCCTTACATCTGGGTCCATATAAGAGTGCCCCCTTACAGAACCCTCCTTACATCTAAGTCCCCATCAGAGCATCGCTCCCCTTTATTTCAGGGTCCCCATCACAGTCCGCCCTTACATCCATGTCCCCATCAGAGTATCTAACATACTATCCTATCAGAGTTCCCCCTTACATCAGGGTCTGTATAAGAGTTCCCCCTTACATCAGGGTCCGTATCAGAGTTCCCCCTTACATCAGGATCTGTATAAGAGTTCCCCCTTAAGATCAGGGTCCATATCAGAGTTCCCCCTTACATCTGGGTCCATATAAGAGTACCCCTTACAGAACCCTCCTTACATCTAAGTCCCCATCAGATCACCCCCCCCTTACATCAGGGTTCCCATCAAAACCCTCCTTACATCTAAGTCCCATCAGACTTATTTTCAGGGTCCTCATCCAAGTCAGCCCTTGCATCCATGTCCCTATCAGAGCCCCCTCCCCCCTTACTTCAGGGTCCCCATCAGAGTCCGCCCTTACATCCATGTCCCTATCAGAAAATCTAACATACTATCCTATCAGAGTTCCCCCCTTACATCAGGGTCTGTATCAGAGTTCCCCCTTACATCAGGGTCCGTATCAGAGTTCCCCCTTACATCTGGGTCCCTATAAGAGTGCCCCCTAGTACAGAACCCTCCTTACATCTAAGTCCCCATCAGAGCACCCCCCTTTATTTCAGGGTCCCCATCAGAGTCCCCCTTACATCCATGTCCCCATATCAAGCCCCCTCCCCCCTTACATCAGGGTCCGTATCAGAGTTCCCCCTTACATCTGGGTCCATATAAGAGTACCTCCTTACAGAACCCTCCTTACATCTAAGTCCCCATCAGAGCACCCCCCCCTTTATTTCAGGGTCCCATCAGAGTCCCGCCCTTACATCCATGTCCCCATCAGAGTATCTAAAAATACTATTTATCAGAGTTCCCCTTACATCAGGGTCTGTATAAGAGTTCCCCTTACATCAGGGGTCCATATCAAGTTCCCCCTTACATCTGGGTCCATATAAGAGGTACCCCCCTTACAGAACCCTCCTTACATCTAAGTCCCCTATCAGAAAACCACCCCCTTTATTTCAGGGTCCCCATCAGAGTCCGCCCTTACATCCATGCCCCCCATCAGAGTATATCTAACATACTATCCTATCAGAGTTCCCCCTTACATCAGGGTCCGTATCAGAGTTCCCCCTTACATCAGGGTCCGTTTCAAGAGTTCCCCCTTACATCAGGTCCATAAAGCAGTGCCCCCTTACAGAACCCTCCTTACATCTAAGTCCCCATCAGAGCACCCCCCCTTTATTTCAGGGTCCCCATCACAGTCCCCCTTACATCCATGTCCCCATCAGAGTATCTAACATACTATCCTATCAGAGTTCCCCCTTACATCAGGGTCTGTATAAGAGTTCCCCCTTACATCAGGGTCCGTATCAGAGTTCCCCCTTACATCAGGGTCTGTATAAAAGAGTTCCCCTTAGATTAGGGTCCGTATCAGAGTTCCCCCTTACATCTGGGTCCCATATAAGAGTACCCCCTTACAGAACCCTCCTTAAATCTAAGTCCCCATCAGAGCACCCCCCCCTTTATTTCAGGGTCCCCATCAGAGTCCGCCCTACATCCATGTCCCCATCAGAAGTATCTAACATACTATCCTAACAGAGTTCCCCCTTACATCATGGGTCCATATAAGTAACCCCTTTACAGAACCCTCCTTACATCTAAGTCCCCATCAGATCACCCCCCCCTTTACATCAGGGTTCCCATCTAAAACCCTTCCTTACATCTAAGTCCCCATCAGACTTATTTTCAGGGTCCTCATCCAAGTCCGCCTTGCATCCATGTCCCTATCAGAGCCCCCTCCCCCCTTACTTCAGGGTCCCCATCAAGAGTCCGCCCTTACATCCATGTCCCTATCAGAAAATCTAAATACTATCCTATCAGAGTTCCCCCTTACATCAGGGTCTGTATCAGAGTTCCCCCTTACATCAGGGTCCGTATCAGAGTTCCCCCTTACATCTGGGTCCATATAAGAGTGCCCCCTTACAGAACCCCTCCTTACATCTAAGTCCCATCAGAGCAAATCCCCCCCCTTTATTTATCAGGGTCCCCATCAGAGACCGACTTTACATCCCCATGTCCCCATCAGAGTATCTAACATACTATCCTATCAGAGTTTCCCCCTTTACATCAGGGTCTGTATCAGAGTTCCCCCTTACATCTGGGTCCGTATAAGAGTGCCCCCTTACAGAACCCTCCTTACATCTAAGTCCCCATCAGATCACCCCCCCCCTTTATTTCAGGGTCCCCATCAGAGTCCGCCCTTACATCCATGTCCCCATCAGAGTATCTAACATACTATTCTATCAGAGTTCCCCCTTACATCAGGGTCTGTAAAAGAGTTCCCCCTTACATCAGGGTCCATATAAGAGTACCCCCGATTACAGAACCCTCCTTACATCTAAGTCCCCATCAGAGCACCACCCCCTTTATTTCAGGGTCCCCCATCAGAGTCCGCCCTTACAAAATCATGTCCCCATCAAGTATCTAACATACTATCCTATCAGAGTTCCCCCTTACATCAGGGTCCGTATCAGAGTTCCCCTTACATCAGGGTCCGTATCAGAGTTCCCCTTACATCAGGGTCCGTATCAGAGTTCCCCCCTTACATCTGGTTCCATATAAGAGTACCCCCTTACAAAACCCTCCTTACATCTAAGTCCCCATCAGACTTATTTTCAGGGTCCTCATCCAAGTCCACCCTTACATCCATGTCCCTATCAGAGCCCCCTCCCCCCCTACTTCAGGGTCCTCATCAGAGTCACCATAGTTTGGAGACCTCAACACTAGAGCATATCTTTTTTTTTTTTTTATTGATCACTTTCCCCCTCAGTATCTCCCCACAATTCTCTGCTTTTTTTTCCATATTACACGGCAATGTCAGTTGCTATGGATGTGCAAACCTGTCATTTACCGAAAACTATGCAAAGTGGGTAAAAAAAAACACAAAAAAAAAACAAAAACAAAAAAGAAAAAACCTTCTCTCCGATGAGGAGTTACGCAATGTAACCCTTTCGTGTTCCTGTATTTCCTATCCTGTGCGGCATGCAATACGGAAGTGCTCGCTTGTCTGTGTCCTACTTATTGATCCAGTACCCGCGGTAAAGGCGCGTCTTAATAGAAAACTGAACCGCGCGGCTTTCTGTTAATTAATAGAAGACATTGCGGTAAGCGGGGCTAAAATTAGAAAGTGTCAGGTGAAGTGATGTGAAGGCGCTCCTTCCCCTCCCCCCCCCCCCCCCAGAGGCAGGAATAATGACGGCATGAAAAATGGCATCAGAGGTCCCCGGCGTCTTATCTACCAAACACAGGGGAGTACATCCATCACAGGTGACCGGGTAACCGGCTCATCAGTGGCGGCACGGCCCGTCCGCCTCCATCACAACACACAGATTAACCCATCAATCTCATCCAATAAATAGGAAGGGGGGGGCGTGTGCGAATGGTGCACCCACACAAATACACACTTTAGCAAAAGTGAACGCACGCTAACATGTTTATATTGCCGCTACAAACCCTATAAAATCGCAGCTTCCTAGTCCTTAGATGTGCAGGCTGCATTTTTTTTTTTTTTAATAACCACTTGGCCTATACTGAGACTTCTCGTTTATTTGTAAAAATAATTACTTAGAACTCCGAAATAGTATATAAATATTTGTTGAGCAGAGGCCCCAGAGTATAAAAATGGTGGGCAGCGCAATTTTTTATGTCATGCGGTACAGCGGTTTTTTCAAATTTTCTGGAAAAAAATGTACTTTAACTAACTCCTTCGCCGTCACACACAAATATGCGGCCTCACGGAGCTGGGATTTTTTCCTGCGGGGCCGCATATTTGCGCACTTGTCTTTGTGCCGCTCGGCGCACTCCCAGCACAAAGACCGCGGTGTCACTGAGAGCCCCGGGTGCCGTTCTAACGATCGGGACCCGGGACTCCCCGATTCCAGGTCACATGATTGCTGTGATAGCCTCTGATTGGCTTTCACAGTGATCAGTCACTGTACAGCCCGGCCCCCTTGCTTTTTTTCCTCTCTCTATGAATGGAGGAGAGAGATACATTGTAATCATTATATACATTCTATTATACATTGTATCATTATATACATCCTATTATACATTGTAATCATTATATACATTATTATACATTGTATCATTATATACATCCATTATTACATTGTATCATTATATACATTCTATTATACATTGTATCATTATATATACATTCCATATTATACATTGTATCATTATATATACATTCCATTATACATTGTATCATTATATACATTCCATTATACATTGTAAAATATACATTGTATTATACATTATATTATATACATCCCATTATACATTGTATCATTATATACATTCCATTATACATTGTATCATTATATACATTCCATTATACATTGTATCATTAATACATCCTATTATACATTGTATCATTATATATAATCCTATCCATTATACATTATCATTATAATAACATCCTATTATACATTGTAAAAAAAAGAAAAGAAAAGATATCATTATAATACATCCTATTATACATTGTATCATTATATACATCCTATTATACATTGTATCATTATATACATCCTATTATACATTGTATCATTAATATACATCCTATTATACATTGTATCTCTCTAAACACTCCTAGCATAGAGAAGAAAAAAAAAAAGTTTGTAAAAAAAAAAAAAGAAAAAATAAAAGTAAAAAAATAAATATATTAAAAAATAAAAAAAAAAAAAAAAAAATAAAGAAAAATACCTAGATCAAGGTTTGATCTAGTTCAAAAAAGGTTAGTGTTTGGGTCAAGGTCAGGGTCAAAGGTCAAGGTCAAAGGTCAGGATTTAAAAAAATGGTATCGGTTCGTGTCAATGTCAGTGTGTTTTCGTAAAAAAAAAGAAAAAGAGACAAAAACAAAATGCGCACTATTATTTTTATACTGGGCTGTACTCCGGGTACATACAAAAAAAAAACACATCCACATATATGGTATTGCTGCAATCGTCAGGAGCTGGAAAATTATTTTGGTTGTTCTTTGGTGGTAGGTTATGGTATTAACAAGAAACACAGCTAAATAAAAAAAAAATTTTTTACTATTTTGGGCCAGTTTTCCTTTGATAATAAAAAAAAAAACAAAAATCAGGAGATATCCATTACCATTTATACCACCAAATGAAAGCCCAATCTGTCCTGAAAAAAAAATCACGGTATAATCCACCTGGATGTACGAAGTAGTTGTGATGATACGGACGGTTTTACGAACACTGGTCAACATTGCAAAATTGTGCTTAGGCATTTTAGATTTGTTTTAACCCTCAGGCATGAAGGGGTTAAAGGAATTTTAGTGCATACAAACAATATAAATTCCAAATTTATGTGTAATCCTGCTGTTGCAGCAAAGTGTATAGTCATTGTGAATTCTGTAAGTACTGTTCCATTTTCTCTATTATATATAATATATAATGACAATAAAATTGTTTGGATTAAAAAAAAAAAAAAAAAAATTCCAAATTTCTTGTTCAACTATAAATGATGTTTACGAGTAAATGGATACCAAACATATCACACCCGTGGAGTGGCAACAAACTACATTCATTAATTACTTCCCACCCAGGCCAATTCTGGCATTTCTCATCAATCATGTAAAAATCAATAATTTTAAATAAAAAATATTACACACACAACATATATATATATATACACAATATATAATATATAACAACAACACATAAATATATATAAATACAACAACATATATATATACAACACAACATCACAACATAAATAATAAATATACACCCAACTCACATAAATAATATTAATATATACACACAATCCCCCAACACACAACACACAACACACACACATATAAAACACATATATATATTTCCACCACACACATATATAACACACAACAATATATATATATATATACACACCACATAATTATATATACCACACCACAAACACACACACACCCACACACACATATATATATATATATATACAACACACCAATATATTTATATATATTACACACACAATATACATAAACAACACTCACATATAGATATACACACCACACACCCAAATATTATACAATAATATACACACACACACACACACACACATATATATATAATACACACACACACACATATATAATATATACACACACAAACTCACACACACATAATAATACACACACACACACACATATATATAATATACACACCACACACACACACACACATACATATATATATATATATATATACACACACACACACAACATATCATATATATACACACATATATATATATAATGTTTGGGCATTCTGAGCAATTTTCTAGCAGAGATCCTAGAGAATAAAATGGAGGTCGTTGCAAATTTTTTTTTATGTCACATGATATTTGAGCAGCAATTTTTCAAACACAATTGTTTTGCAAAAAAATACACACTTCATTAAATAAAAAATAAAATTTAAGTAAATAGATACCAAACATATCAAAATTTAAAATTGTGCACACTTGTGGAATGGCGCAAAACTATGGTACTTAACCCCTTGGCGTCGGCGCCTCCCAGCCCTTTAAGGGTTTCAGATGCCGGGAGGCAGGGGCGGGCTTTTAGGGTCATGTGACCGCCGTGATTCTCTGTCGCGTCGTCACATGATTGGGAATTTGTCCCGATCGAAAAAGGAGATCGGGACCTTTCCGTGAGTACCGGACATGTGTGCTGGGAGCGCTCTCAGCACATATGTTTTTATTAATTGCACACAAATGTGCGGTTGATCGGAGTCAAGGCCCAGACGCCGGGCGGCCGCACACTTGCGTGCTACCGGCGCCAAGAGGTTAATCTCCATAGGCGATGCTTTAAACATTTTTAAAGGTTTCCAAATTAGAGTTAGAGGAGGTCTAGCGCTAGAATTATTGCTCTCACTATAACGTTCGCGGCGGTACCTCGGATATGTGGTTCAAACAACGATTACATATGTGAGCGCAACTTACGTTTGCGTTTACCTCTGCGTGTCAGCACGAGGGGACAGGGCGCTTTCATTTTTTTATTTTTATTATGCATGTGAGCACGAGGGGACGGGGGCGCTTTCATTTTTTTAAATTTTTTATGTTTTTTCTTTTTCTACGGTTTCTTTAATTTTTTTTTAATTACTTTTATTCCTATTACAAGAAATGTAAACATCCCTTGTGGTAGGAATGAGGCATGACAAGTCCTCTTTATGGAGAGATCTGGAGTCTAGCGCTAGAATTACTGCTCTCGCTATAACATTCGCGGCGGTACCTCAGATATGTGGATCATACAACGTTTACATACTGTATGTTGGTGCAACTTACGTATGCGTTTACCTCTGCGTGTGAGCACGAGGGGACGGGGGCTCTTTCGTTTTTTAACCTTTTTTTTATTTTTATTATGCGTGTGAGCACGAGGGGACGGGGGGCGCTTTAATCTTTTTTTTTTTTAAATTTTTTTTTATTTTTACACGGTTTCTTACATTTTTTTTTTAAATCACTTTTATTCCTATTACAAGAAATGTAAACATCCCTTGTAGCAGGAATGAGGCATGACAAGTCCTCTTTAGGCAGAGATCTGGGGTCTATAGGATCCCGCATTTCTCCTCTATTCTGGAAAGCATGGGATCAAAAAAAAAAAAATGAAAATGATCTCAAGCATTCCTGCATAAAAATGGCAGGGTCTACATCTGCCAGTGACGGAAGTGACGGAAGTGACGTCATGACGTCGCCTCTTGCCCCTCAGGGTCATAGAGATGGCCAGGGACCATCTGGTCCGCTGCCAGCTCTATGGTAAATCAGCGCCTCCAGCGGATCGGTTCTTTGGCTCCCCGATTGCATGGGAGAGCATGGTGCCAGTAGGTGGTGAGAGACATCTCCACTCAAAGTTCATGACGTCATATGATGTTTGTGGGCATACCTCAAATGTATGGTGCAATCACTGTTTCCAAATGTGTGTGGGACCGGCGCGTGAATTCGTCTTTGCACAGGAGCATGGGGGGGGGGGGGGGGGATTCAGGGGGAGAGACCTCTTTCTTCCACCCATAAAAGCCATCCAGCTGCTAATTAGCCGCTAGGATCGCTTTTACAAAAAAAAAAAAGTCCATCACCAGCTGAAAACAAAACCAGGATGATGCGTGCAGCTTTAAATTTTTTCTACTCTTTTTTTGAATCAACTTTACTGCTATCACAAGGGATGCACATCATCCCTTCTGATCGCATGGTCAGTGACAGGTACTCTTTACTGAAAGATCTGGGGTTTATTAGGCCCCAGATCTCTTCTTTGTGATTAAAATCATCTGATCACACCAAGATTGGCTCGTCCGGCTATGGTGATGGATTGTTTACATCCCATGAAACCAAAGTGACCAAATACTAGATCATCTCTACGGCAAACTGCTTCAGTCCTGGGCTTCCCGGTGGGACAGGAGAGTCCGGGAATGCAGAGGAAAGCCGCAGGAGAGGGTGGGGGGGGGGGGGGTCGTGGGTAGAGAGACCTCTTTTCTCCACCCACAAAAGCCATCCAGCTGCTAATTAGCCGCTAGGATCGCTTTTACAAAAAAAAAAGTCCATCGTCAGCTGAAAACAAAACCAGGATGCTGCGTTCAGCTGCAGACCTCATCGAGGTCTAATCACTGAAATGGGTCAAGAGGTTTCTGTTCCCCTTGATGAACAAGCCAGTAACACTTCCTTTCCTAGGGGGCAATGTTCACTCACAGTCCTGTGTCTATGGAGGGGGAGCGTTGTCACCCTAGGACAGGAAGTGAATTAGAATTGCAGAACACCTCCCTATCTCTGCAGCTCTATAACATGGGTGCGGGTTTTCGGCAGTTCACGAGAGAGACCTATGCAGGGCAGATGACAATGGTTAAAGCGGTGTTAAACCCAAAACCAAAAATGTCATATATTGCAGCGGCGGCTGCTTTAGTTTTCTTTTTGCTTTTCTTTCCGCTCAGTCTTCCCCCCCCTGTCAACTCAAGCACACTGCACAGCACAGCCATCCTGATCAGTGTGATTACAGTGAAGCACACAGACCCCGCCACCTAGTAAATCACTCCTTGCACATAGTTAACCCTTTGATCGCCCCTCACATTAACACTTTCATGCCCAGCGCTATTAGTACAGTGTCAGTGCTTTTTATTAGCACTGATCACTATATTTGTGTCACTGGAGAGGTCAGTGACACCAAGTTAGTTCCCCCAAGTGTCAGAATGTCCGCCACAGTCCTGCAGTCCCGCAAAAAGTCGCTGATCCCCCCAGATGTTAACCCCTTCCTGCCCAGTGTCATTAGTACAGTGTCAGGGCTTTTTATTAGCACTGATCACTGTATTGGTGTCACTGGGGATGTCAGTGATAGTTCCCCCCCCCCCCCAAAGACACGGAGCAGAATACATTTTGCCCTGAATTTATGGCGAAATTAGATTTTTTTTTACTGGACATGTTTAATAGCAAAAAGTCAAAAATATTGTATTGTTTTTTTTTGTTTTTTTTACAAAATTGTCGGTCTTTTTTTGTTTATAGTGCAAAAAAATTAAAAACGTACAGGCGATCAAATGCCACCGAATGTAAAAAAATAAAATCAAATTTCGTCATAAATTTAGAGCTTACACTCTCCTTGGTTCCCGTCTCCATTATTTGCTCATTAGGAAAGTCAGAGTCAAAAAAAAAAAGAAAAAAAAAAAAAAGTTGGATCCCGACTGGTTAGCACATTTGCTCCTGTGCCCGCTGTGCGCTGGTCTCCGGCATTCGGATGGAGTGTTTTGCCGCGGAGAACATATGGCTGGTGGAAGCTGATTGTCTCGTCTCAGATTGATGTCATTACAGAAAACAGGCTGATTGCTGGGATTGGGGCGTGCAGAGTTTAGCGCACAATCTCGCAGTGTAATCAGGCTGGCAGGAGGCGGACGGACGGCATTGATTAGATGGAACGTAGACAATCACTGCCCTAACCCGGCACACCAGGACATCAACATCTGACAACTCCAAAACTTTCTTTTTATCGTTGGTTGTCCTCTTCCCTTCAGAGGATTCCCCCCCCCCCCCCCCCCCGTTCCTGACCAGGCCATTTTTTGCGATAATTTAACTGACAATTGCGCGGTCATGCAACGCTGCACCCAAATTAAATTTACGTCCTTTTTTCTCAACAAACAGAGCTTTCTTTCGGTGGAATTTGATCGCCTGTGAGGTTTTTATTTTTTTTTGCGCTATAAACAAATAAAGACCGACAATTTTGAAAAAAAAAAAACTATTTTTGACTTTTTGCTACTAAACATGTCCAATTAACCACATGCCGCCCAGTTACTGTAGAAATACGTTGGCAGGGCG